AACCATTAGACGGGCGTTTACGTTTCTTACAGAGTGAAATCAGTTTCGGTCGCGCGTTTTACGTCAACCACAAAATAAGCCTCAGATTCGCCCGTGCCTATGTTTAATGTGCTCATCGTCTTTTACTGAATGTACACAGGATTACAGATCCCAAACATGACCGGTGGGCCTGGACACCTCATCGGACTGGTTTCTACCGAAGGTTATGGGTGCGTTATCATTTCCGATCAAACAGCGTTTCGTTTCATTTAAGAAATTCCATTATCCGCACATCAACTAATTATTAGTTTAGTTCACAGTTCACTTAATCTGCGGAGTGTAAGTTGTTGTTTTTCTCAATTATTGTATAGGAAAATATTTAATTTTGGGGAACATTTTAGTTTTAAACCTGGTGTCTGACTGGTACGAAGCGACCTTGCCGCTTTGTTTAATATGTGATCAGGCTCGCTGACTTCATTGACGTATTCCAATTGCTCAGATCGATGCTTATGATGCTGATCACCGGATTGTCTGGTCCAGACTCGAATATTTACAGACCGCCGCCATATAGCTGGGACATTGCTGAGTGCGGCGTTAAACAACAAACAAACAAAGGTAAGAGGCGACTAACAGGATCGGGTGGTCAGGCACGCTGACTTGGTTGACACATGTCATCGTATCCCAATTGCGCAGATCGATGCTCATGCTTTTGATCACTGGATTGTCTGGTCCAGACTCGATTATTTACAGACCGCCGCCATATAGCTGGAATATTGCTGAGTGCGGCGTTAAACAAGTATCAAATAAACAAAACTATAAAAAAATGTTTATGAAAAATGCGATATAAACCAGAATTGAAACAAAAGTATTTAAAAAACACGTTGTGATGATGAGCACGTATAACACGAGTGCGTTACCTGTTAATTGCCGCTCAAACCAACATGTCTGACAGATAACTTACTTAATAAATTCCTCGATCCGGTATTAATTACTACGGTAATGTTATACCGTAGTAAGTAATATATTACTACGGTAATTAACCAATACACATTCAAGGGTATTGTAAACTCGCAGACAGCTTCCTGACCTTCTCTCTCACCACGCAATGCATACTTGTCAAATTCACGAAGCGGGATATTGCACAAGCGAACCCGCGCTAGATGGTCCGATGATGATCAGGTGAAAAATGTCCCTGTCACTTGTCAATTTCATTAGCGTGTTGAAGCATCTCACGGGTGCTGTGGCTGTTTACAGTTAGGGTGGACGGTGAGACAATTAGAAGTAAACACAAACAAACACACACACAATAACACGTTTAATAGAAAACTGGTCTAATTCTCGGCCGGTGCAAACATATTGACTTCAAGCAGCTCGTTACGCAAATGTTTGCCGGTGTAGGTAAATACACCCTATAACCTTGGCGGAAAAGCGTTATCATTCGGGTGTTGATTTAGGAAAAAATCGCGATAAAACTCAACATGTGGTGTTAAATATGAGCATGGCGTGGTTATGAAAATAGCCATTCTTTCAGCAAAAATCCTTGACATTCCAGCCATATGAAAAAACAAATCTTGCAATATCTGAGGCCTATCGATAATTTTCAAAACTGTGTGAGGGTGTTGGCCATGACATGAGGTAGTGTGTATTTGGAATGTTGAAATACAAATTGAATCATGTTTTACATATAGTCGAATGTTTCTAAATTCACTCGCCAACTTCAAGAATGCCGATCCAATATTTAGAGTGAATGTTGTCTTCTTACTAAAACAGACGGGTAGACTAACATCTAGTCTCTGAAATGACAGAAAAGAAAACGGTTCATAAATAATAATCATAAAATATAATGAAAAGGAGCCCTGAAACTTTCTACATTTTCAGAAACTGTGGAAATCTAGACATTGATACCCAGGCGAGTCTGGGGTTAGAGCCCCACCGTCCACCCCTCCTCTTTCAACGTCTCCCATCTACACGCCCACCCACCCTATACCCAGGCGAGACTGGGGGGTTAGAGCCCCATCGTCCATGCACCCCTCGTCTTTTAACGTCCCCCATCTAGACAGGCGAGTACGGATCAGAGTCCCCTCGTCCACCCCTCGTCTTTTAACGTCATCCATCTAGACATCCACCCTCCCCACCCAGGCGAGTCGGATCAGAGCCCCCTCGTCCACCCCTCGTCTTTTAACGTCACCCATCTAGACACCCACCCTCCCTACCCAGGCGAGTCCGGGAGACTCGGCTGTACCGAGGAGTGTCAGTCAAGTGAAGAATAGAGCCGAGAGCTGTATAATGAGACCCTTTTAGTACAATGGTGATAAAATGTGTCCACGCCGTACTCTCAGCTCGACTCACATACACAGCACAAATTCAACTCTGAAACGAATGATTACCCTGCACTTACACAGGCACTCGAGCGGCCAACACCCGCTTGTCAGTTGTGGTCGTATTTATCTAAGTTTTTAATTCTGTAGTCTCAAACCTCTAATTGCCCCTTCCATAGCGGAAAGTGGTTGGCGTGTGAGAATAATAACACTTTTGATATCAATTTATAGTGGAATAGTGTAGTGTGTTTCCAATACAAGGGACACTGTCCGGCCCTTACAATCAGGGATATTTCAACTTGGCTTAAATCAAGACAAGAATACATGATAGGGGCACTAGACTAACATATACATAGCCCCGAATGTATGCATACATAGTTATGTGTAAATAAATTGGAACGGTGCTAAAGAAACCCTTGAGTATTCAAGAACCCTCAAGTCTCTTAATTTTCGGCGATTGGATGAATACAGATAGGGGTGGAATTCGGGTGATTGGTTAATTAGATATAACCTCTATGTCTCCTAGGCCCTGGAGAATGAAGTAAGGACTGTCCTTAGTGCCATCTGGATTTTGCAGATATATACTTTTAAATAAGATAATTATATTTCTGGGATTAAATGTCAGCCTGCGCTCGGGTCTGTAACAGAGTTTGTTATACTGCTTCGGCGATAACAACTGTTTCACTTTGATGAATTATATACCTTATTTGTACCAGGATCCGATGAGCGTTGTTAGAATCCAATATAAGGTTCGGACCATACTTGTGATACTACAATATATTGACGTTGGTAGTAATCATTTGGACACCAGTTACGGAATTATTGGGGTTAAAAATATAGTTCGGTGAGTTGTGTACCTTGTCGCACCAGGATTCGGAGATAGTGGGTTCGAATAAAATAGATTCACGTGGAGACCGGCGTGTTCGGAATACAGTAGTGATACTACAATATACTCGTCAACGTTTGCTACGGATATTACACGTGTCCCTCGAAGGGACTAAATGGATGGTTGTTTAAGGTTGTATATAATATTCTATGTTGCTATGGAAACGACGAATTTCAATAGATGTGGAATTAAAGAATATGTTTTTCAATATTTTGTTGTCATTAGAGTTTTGTAACAGTTTTTCCCGTTATGGTTCTCAGATATAATTAGTCCCCGCGATGTTAGATGTGTCATCCCGCAGTTAAATATACTATTAAAATAATTATAGAACATCCTATTCTAACGTAGCCTAATACTATAGTTAATCTGATGTGACATATTGGCTACAGCCATACATAAATTTCTTTGGAGATGTATAGTTGGTAGTAACATAGATTGAAGACTGTCGGTCGTTTCACTCACTCGTACAAGTACGACACATAGTAGTATATTGGAATTGTTATTTGCTATTTGCATTAGGAAAATTATTCCGGAAATCTGGACAAATAAATCTGTCTGTGGTTTTACAACAAAATATGGCCACTGGACGTATTCGATTCCAGAATTTAAAAAAAATAATAATTCAGAAATAATTTCACAAATGTGCACAATGGCAGATTGCAGTCATCAATATTAGAGAGGAACTCATGAAGATCCGGGTGAGAATTGTTTTCAGCAACCCAGGCGTATGGGGGGGATACGGGATCTCATTGGATTGTCGAATGCAGAATCGGATGTCCACAGACCACCGTCAAACATCGTTGAGTGCAGCGTTTAACATCAATCAATTTGAGAGAGAGAGAGAGAGAGAGAGAGAGAGAGAGACAGAGAGAGAGAGAGAGAGAGAGAGAGAGAGAGAGAGAGAGAGAGAGAGAGAGAGAGAGAGAGAGAGAGAGAGAGAGAGAGATTTACGCCGCTCTTAGCAATATAGTGCACGAAAGATTGGACCGTTAAGCGAGTAAAGTGTGATATAAAACAGTAAGCGAGTTGGTGGTGTGTGTGTGTGTGTGTGTGTGTGTTTGTGTGTGTGTGTGTGTGTGTGTGTGTGTGTGTGCGCACTGCAGTACTTCCACAGACAGAGTGGGTACAGGGATGTGGGGACGATGGGAGGGTAAACACTAGCCCTGGAGTAGCTCGTTAGGCCACACTTGGTTCTGTCACGGCCGGATTCAAAACGACGACCAGAGAGAAAACTGCTTAATGAATCAACAGAGATCTACAACATAGAGCCAGGCCTGAACAAACAGACACAGGCCACTGGAAGCTGTATTTGAAAAAAAATTCCCAACGGATACCATAGGCTGGTACTAGTTTCTCAGGGTGGAGGAATGGAAATCGTGTAATAAAACTACATTAAAAATGCACTTTTCTGCACTGGGTAATTTGAAAATTGTAAGAAAATCGCGCTGCCATTTGCTTAATGCGAAATGTTAAGCCCAAAAGACAAATCACATCAGGCTGATGATATTAATGAGAAGTGTCTAGCCCGGCGAATTGATTTAGAAGTAAACAGAAACTGGAGAAAAGTACATGTTTTGTAATTTGGCCTCCCCCTATTCGTCTAACTGGCGTGCTTTCCACCTCAAGCGAGCTAATGACAAAGGGCCAGTGAGATCTACCAATAAAATTCCATTTCCATCTGTCTGTCAAGTTTACATAGCGAGAAACAGCGAATTCCTATTGCAAGAAAAGTTCCGAGGGAGGAAAATAGACCAGCCTGGGAAGCCGGTGTGTGGTTAGCGGAGGAGGAGAATGGAACAGCCTATTGTTGTGTAGGATGTAGGCGCTGGTCGGGTCTAGTGTGAGAAGTCAGTGTTTCAATCATGTCCACGGATGTACTAGGACGTACTTTTACTCCAACATGAATTTACTCTATTTTTCTGTGCTTCTACTTGTTGCCTGCGCCGATTCCGAAGGTAAGGTCAGATGTTGGTACCCTCAACACACGCTTTCTTTGGACTCCCTTTGCTCGCGAAGCGCTTCGGCGTTTTTGTAATGGCGGATTTGTTTATCATTGACGGCGCATTATATAGAAGGATATGTTCGCTTTGTTGCTAGTAATCCCCGTCGCCTGAATTGAATCGGGGACGTCACATTTGTGGTTCCTTTCTGTGACATTTTGTTGGCCTGAACTGTAGTTTCTGCACCTGTTACGACCCGTTGGCAACCCTGTATCGGGACGACTGTTGTAGCCCTAACACTCGGTTCCTGCAACCCTTCATGCAGTGCCGATGTCTTTTTCTCATCAAACTTGTCAATTTCCACTACCACAATCGACTGACTGGCCGACTTCCGCCGATCGTGTCCCTCTCAACGGCCTGGTATGTTTACTTCCGCGAATTGCGATCAAAATTGTCTTTTCCCAACACAACAATTTCAACGTGATTTCGGCTTGACATTACAGAGTGTGTGTGTAGAAGAGCATGGCACCATAACACAAACGCTCACACGTATACCGGTGCCTCAACAACGCCTTACCTCTACCTCACGGTCACAATGCCGAGATTGTTCTTCGATATACTATCCAATTAACATTCATTAGTGAGCAAGACAACCACCAGTCACCTCGTACACTGACAGTACAGTACTTCGATAAACAGGCCAATTAACGTTCATTAGCAAGCATCACTACGTATCGTTTCTTAATCAATCAAGCAAACAAACCCTCTTCAGATACATACTAAATAATCTTCATTAGTAAATGATGCTACTGTTTTCCTTTTCATCAATTAAATGACATGCCTAGTCTTTCAATATACAGATAGTTGGCATTCATTAGCTGACAATGCAACCAGTGATTTCCCCGTTCAATGCTGAATCAGATAACTCTGTTTCAATACGCTCTCAAATTTATTAGTTTAATATATTGCGTGACATGTCCGCTAATTAATTTTGTAATCCAGTATTTTGATGATTCAGATAATGTTTTACCAGATAGTAGTAGGGATGTGATATTTGCATCAAATTTCACTTTTTTAATTCAGAGTGTCAAGGATTTTTAGTTATGTTAATATATGTCATTCGATTCAAGTTATAGGAATTGTATTTGACATGCATATTTTAAAATATTGATAACTTCATTCATATGACATCCAAGAAAAACTGGGATAGAAGCCACATGTATTGCTATTTCAGTATCCAACACCACTCTCCAAATTCTTTAGCAATCATGATTTCTGATGACTTAATAATCTCGTGATGAAACAAAAATGTCCTCATTGTTTTGAAAAAATTACAACAAAATACTAAAGAGAAAGTGTAGTCCTAAGGGTCCGCTCAGAATTTATGGCTAGAGGGGTGATGATGATTTTAAGGGGGTGTGTCACCCATTTTGTTCTGGGGAGGTAGGGGGTTTCATCAATTTTGTACACATGTACCTGGGGGTCATCAATTTTGTACATAAATATAATTAAAAATTATGCATGAAAAATATCTGAAGGGGGAAGGGGGTCATTGATTTTGTACATGACAAGCAGGGGGGTCACTTTGTGCATAAATTTTAGGGGGGTTCATTCACATTGTACATGCTTCTCCATAAAAATCATCATCACCCCCCCTAGCCATAAATTATGAACGGTCCCTAACTAAATTTATGTCATATTGTATGCTCATGAAAGTTGCGTTTTTAAAAAACCCAACTTATTCTAAGCTGAGATATATTCCTTCCAAAAATTATACAAATGTTCATTTCTCTTAAAATAGTTGTGATTTATTGACAGTTTTCGAATGTACTTCAGTATTGTGTCCACATTACCGGTCTACCATCAGGACAGGAAGAATGTTTTAAACTGACCATAAATTAGAAATTAACTTACTCTCATAGCAGAAGAATCCAATAAAAAATCATTTTAAGGCCCCTTAGTTGTTATATGGGGCATATTGTTTACTCTACCATGCTGATATGTGTTTTTCGGTTTGTGGTCGGACTTACAAAATGATCATACCCAAATGTCAGTCACCTGGCAATGTACATACATCTCCCAATGTGAACAAACTTGTGGGCCACTCTCCTAAGTAATATAAATGGTTGCGAGGGCCGTATGACCCTAAGCCTGTAATGGGGAATTGACACGAGGCTGTTTATGGCCGTGTAACTAGGAGAGAGACTTAGACCTGCTGTTTTATTGTTTTTTAGCACCGGTGTGCTGCTCGAACCTGGGACGTCACACAACATGCAAGTACTATTGTCAGCAGGTAAGATTTCTCGTCTTTTTACTGTTACAACAATCGGGCGATTCCCAGGGATGTTTGCGATGCTCAATGAAGCCCGAGAGTTTAATGCTTTGATTTATGGGTTATGAGCCCGTGTATCTCTCCTATCTAACACCAGCTTTGCGAATCAATTATAGCCTTATGCTGTTGATATGAATCAATTTCTGATTGCGAGTTGCCCTTGCGGCCACAAGACAAAGACAATGTCAGCTGACTAGCCTTGAGGCAGTCCCTGTAGATCGAGGCTGTGGCTGACACTGTATATATGATTTACTGCCGACATTGGTAACACGTACACCTGAATACCGACCTTTATGGCAGTTGAAAATGCTCTTGTTTCCTTCGTCTATTGTGGGGAGTTGTGTTCGGCAGTGTGTGGGAATTTAATGTAGTCATACTTCTCTGAGAGGTTTTTGAAAATCCATGGTATTATTTCTGTTGGGATTGTGTTTTATTCCCACATTGAACTCTCAGTGGTTTTACTACATGTTGGTCAAGCTTGTGGTCATGACCCTTGGGTTAAAATTTCTAACTTATCACTTTTGTATTTTTCATTAAAAAATATATTGTGGAGGAAAACAATTTTTTATTTTTTTTAATTTCAATTTTGTATACTTTTTTTCCTACATATTTTTCATATCCCTATCCTAAAAAAATTTGCTCAAAAGGGAAAGAAATATCTGTCATGCCTAGAACCCTCTTGTCATCAGGTGTTTCAGCTCTTTAATCTTGTATGGTTCAAAGAAAGAAGACAAAATACCCTTTCAAGTTAAATATCTGTAAAATATCATTACTTTGACTGGTCTGAAAGGATGCCTCCATAAATATGAGCCCTTTTGCGGACACAGTTATATTTTCCCACAAGAACACGTTGTTTAAAACTGTCATTCCAGTTTGACATTTCTAGAGCTGGTTATTAAGTTGTCTGTTTGAAAATCGGATCTTCGTGTTTCGATGAATGAAAGATTTAACATAACCATTGAGAAACTAAGTTCGAGTTTAGATGCATTTAAACAGGAGTGATAATTTAATTAAAATTCTTTATTAGATAGTATGTATAAATCTTTGTAATTTTAATTAAATTTTGGAAAATTTTATGAAATGAAATTTATATGTACATTTTATGAAACATAATTTATAACTAACCTTATTTAGTTTATAATCTTTAACAGTGGTGTTATGGTGTTAGATGCAGTAGTTTTATATTTGTTTAAATAAATTCATTTCATCTCTGTGTATTTTCTGGAAGTTTAAAAATAATTTTTCATGTTTAGAATGTACAAATATAGACACAGAAACAGAGCAGAATCAACAAATGATGTTTACACATCTGGTTCACTGATAAGCATCCTTGCAAGAGACGCATGTTGTTATATTTTATACTCTCTAAGGCATATTCTAATCACTTTTCATGAACTGGAACTTGCCATTGCTTCTAGAAAAGAGAAATCAGGAATATCATAATTAATTTCCTGGCTATTATAACAGAGGAATTCATACATCTACAATAAATTTAAACATGAAAATATCTTAAAGGATATTATTGCTTTTGGTTTTATTGTGGATTGAAGTTTTTACTCGAAAATGCTAGGGTAGAGAGTGTATGTGGTATTTCTCACTTAGCATGTTTAGGCCACAAGAAAATTATTACATAGTTAGATCTGCATCAAATTTTGAGGCAGAGGGTGTTCGATTTTTTAATGTTTTAAACAAGCATTTAATCTATCTGTGTATATCTATTGTGTACTGGGATGTTTGACATGTAGAATTATGTTTGGTAGTTATTGGGATGTATTTCATCAAACAAAGAAGGAAACACATGCAAAAAATTAATTCGTTTAGATAATACAGTGTAGTATGGTGTGATGGTGGCTGTATGGTAGTGGGGCGGTTGGGTAGCCTAGTGGGTAAAGCGTTTGCTCGTCACGCCGAAGGCCCGAGTTCGATTCCTCACGTGGGTAAAATGTGCGAAGCCCATTTCTGGTGTCCCCCGCTGTAATATTGCTGGAATGTTGCTAAAAGCGGCATAAAATCAAACTCACTCACTCACTCACTGTATGGTAGCCTTGCTCCAAGGCTGTACTGAATGCTGAGCCCATGGATGTATAGTAACTCAGTCCTCCAGAGGCAAGTCTAGATAAGAGGACAGTCTGTTAGAGGAATATTTATAATTTTTAGAAATTATCATTTAAATAATTATTACCTTAGAGACTTGTGCAAGTCTAGTTGTAGACGTGGTGGAGAGAGTTGAAAAACTGAATATTTTTACACTGCTGTTTTTTTGTAATTTCACAGAAAAATACATGTGCAGCAGTGATAAAACTGTGGGATGTCTACTATATTTAGGGTAGCATGTATGGACCTTGTATTTTCTTATCTATCCTAAAACAGTGGGCAGGCACATGAACTGGAATTATATTTTATCTCCATTTTTTAACGTGTTAGTTTTGTCAGTGAAATCTGATTGGTCAGATAAATCCGAAGAGAATCAGTTATGTCAACCTCAACTTTATGAAGGTCCTAGATAAGATTGATATCCTGTCTCCCACTTTTTAATGGATTCAATACACACAGATAATATGCAACAATGAATAATTTCTGATTTGTGTAAAATATGCAAACTAAACCCATTATCCACTTATTTGGTTTGGATAACTTCTTTGAGTGGCATTCTAGAAGTTGGGAAGTACAATACTGACAAATTTATGGATTATAAGGGACCATTCATAATTCATGGCTAGGGAGGGTGATGATGATTTTAATGGAGCAGCATGTACAATGTGAATGACCCCCCTAAAATTTATGCACAAAGTAAGTGACCCCCCTGCATGTCATGTACAAAGTCAATGACCCCCCCCCTTCAGATATTTTTCATGCATAATTTTCAAATATATTTATGTACAAAATTGATGACCCCCTAGTACATGTGTACAAAATTGATGAAACCCCCTACCTCCCCAGAACAAAATGGGTGACACCCCCCCTTAAAATCATCATCACCCCTCTAGCCATAAATTATGAACGGACCCTTAGGACTACACTTTCTCTTTAGTATTTTGTTGTAATCTTTTCAAAACGATGAGGACATTTTTGTTTCATCACGATATTATTAAGTCATCAGAAATCATGATTGCTAAAGAATTTGGAGAGTGGTGTTTGATACTGAAATAGCAATATCTCTGGCTTCTATCCCAGTTTTTGTGAATGATCCCCTAAATTTATGCACAAAGTAAGTGACCCCCTGCATGTCATGTACAAAGTCAATGACCCCCCTCCTTCTTTCCATATTTTTAAAGCGTAATTTTTAAATATTTTTATGTACAAAATTGCTGACCCCCCTAGAAACATGTGTACAAAATTTATGACTCCCCTACCTTCCCAGAACCAAATGGGTGACCCCCCTTAAAATCATCATCACCCCTCTAGCCATAAATTATGAACGGTCCCTAACTTCCTTTATTTTGTGACTGTGATGACAACCATACAAGAATCTGTACTGAAATGTGGCCCTCACAAAATAGAAGAAGTTGTTATCCATAAATTTCTAAGTATTATTTGGATTTGAAAAATATTGAGCATAATCAGGCCATGTACGTAATGCAAAATTTAATTTTTGCTCGATGTAATAATTTCAGCTTACATGCCTGTATTTCTCAATAGATCCTTATTAACTGATCGAATGTGCTCATCACATGCATGAGCACTACTATATTGAATAAAGAACAAAAGCACGACATCGCCTTATTGTTACGTAGAAATATACAACAAGCGCTAGCACATTATCTGATGTAAATTACACTTCACATGAAACAGGTAAGCAGAATAAATAAAGGCCTCATTGTTCTATAAACAGATAAAATAATTTTTTTGATACCTAAATGAAAATTGTCAGTACTCAATGAGAATAACAACGTGAGCAAATACTCAATAGTTTGAATAAATTTCTGGAGCCCTGGTCGAGTGCCGTGGTATGTGTTTAGTATTTGATAATGGTCAGAGCTATTTAATAGTTACATGAGTGAGTGAGTGAGTGAGTTTGGTTTTACACCGCACTCAGCAATATCCCAGCTATATGGGGGCAGGCTGTTAATAATCGAGTCTGGACCAGACAATCCAGTGATGAACAGCATGAGCATCGATATGCGTAATTGGGAACCGATGACATGTGTCAACCAAGTCAGCGAAACTGACCACCCGATCCCGTTAGTCGCCTCTTACGACAAGCATAGTCGCCTTTTATGGCAAGCACATGGGTTGCTGAAGACCTATTCTACCCCGGATCTTCACGGGTCTTTTAATAGTTACGAACGAATGCCGTTAAAATTAGTCAGCTGTGTAGTAAGATCAGGATTAATTTAGTGGCATTGTTGTGCATTTCCTACAAATTTCCCCCAAATAATCAGGAATAACAGTAAGTGCTTATTAAAATGATAGTGAGTGAGTGAGTTGGGTTTTATACTGCTTTTAGTAATATTCCAGCAATATCATGGTTGGGGGCACCAGAAATGGGCTTGTACCCATTTTGGGAATCAAACCTGGGCCTTCGGTGTGACAACCGAACACTTTAACCACTGGGCTACACCACCACTCCTATTAAAATGATAGCTATGGTAAGCATGGAAGAATATTTTGTCTAGAAATAATGTACAGTGGATAGGAAGGTGGAACCCATTTTAAAATTTTGGTTCTTTGGCAAGGGGTACGAAATGTTGACAGCAGTACCATATAATCATTGTTGATGGGGATGGTGCGTTGTTTGGCAGCGTCAACATTCTTCTGAAGTTGTTTGGGACCCAGAATTCAAATAATCCCAGAGCAGCTTTCAAAGATGTGTTTGGGATGTCTTCTGTAAGACCTTCATCAGGGTACTGCCCAGTAAGCATCACAACCAATTTTCTCAGCACTTTCTCTGACAGAATACTTCAGTGATGATGAACATATAAGATAAGACTGTTTGTTTTTTGTTTGGAAAGAGTTCATCA